ACGACGTTGATTTGGGGGATAAAATTTCAAAATATGATAGATTTGGGGGTTAATAGCAAAATATGAAAGATTTGGGGAACTAATATTTAAATAATCTTTATTTTTATAGTGATGTGGGACATGTGGTTTGCAAGTGTTGAGTGAGGGTATTTTTAAAAGTTCGGGTTTTTTTAAGTTGAAAAAAAAGATTAGATGTGACACGACAAACATGTATGCAAATAAATATGATTTTGATCAAAAATAAAAAGGAAACATGGTAAGTATCAATTTAGATAAAAGTTAAAATAATTTACATGTAAAAATATAAAAAAAATATTGACATTACTTTAGTGAAAGTCCATGATGTATTGGTGAAATATCATTTAGATCCTTAATGTTTGAAAATCATAAATGAGAGCCCTTAACATTATATTTCCGTTATCAATGTAGATATTGTTTATGCACTTTCGTTAAATTTTGATGAAGTGACGATGACGTGGCCTTGTTGTGTCACTACCATGCCAACGAAAAAAAACTTTGTTGACATACTAGTATAATGCACGTGCTTTGCACGTGAATGTAAATGTTTTAAGTTTTGCTTTTTTTATTAAATAGTAAAAGTATTTGTTAATAAATAAAATTGTATAATAATATTACTTAAAAATAAATGTATGGATTAATTATTTATCTTGTAGTTATTGTAATTGAATGTTTTTCTTAAAATGATTGCCTAATGCTAACATTTTTTTAAAAATAAGTCTGCTAAATCTACGATCGTTCTTAAATAAGTCTACTGAATCTATAAGTTATCTTAAATATGCCCCTTTAACTTGAAAGTTGTTAACTCTAAATTAACTAAGCTGTATTAATCTTGCTAGATTTTTCCTGATATTCCCTAGAGAGTTACACTTAATACCGGCAATATATTATGATAGTTACTTCTCATTATAATTATTTAACAGGGTAAATTACACTAAACTCTTATGAACTTTTAGGCCCTACGGACTTTCAAAATTACACTAAAGCCCTAATAACTTTTCTATTTCAAAGAAAAATCCTAATGATTTTTTTTTAAAATTTTGCATATACCTATAAATTACAGCCAAAAAATGCCATAAAAAGGCATTTTGAAAGTTACTGGGGGTTTGGTGTAATTTATCTAAAAGATGTTGGGGGCTTTCTGAAAAAGTTAATAGAGGATTTTAAAAGTTCAGAAAGTGTATTCAGTGCAAATTGATGAAAGTTCATAGGGGTTTACTGTAATGTACCTTATTTAATATTATAATTCTTAGTTCAAGTAATACTATTTAAAATAATTATACTATCTATATACTATAAAATACTTATCTAATTTAATTTTTTAATTATGCTCTTAAATAATTTAGTACTATAAATAATTTATAATTTTTTATTATACTATCATTAACAATTAATAGTACTATTATTACTATGGAATTTTTTTTTAAAAAAGGTTAGTTTTCAATCATTACTAAGTATAGATTATTCAGTATCATATAATAATATTTGAGAAAATATTCTAAAAATAATATTAAATTATTAATTTATTTTATTTAATAATATGATACTAAATAAATAGAGTAATTCATAATTTATGAGATATTATTAAAATAATTACATTGTTTATGATATTAAATATCTGCTCTATTTATTTTATTGCTCATTGAATTATGTATAATTCTTAATAGTATCTAGTAATATATTATTTTATGTATACTATTATTTTAATTACTTTATTATAATTCATAAATAATAATAATAATAATAATAATAATAATTTAATTAATTACTATTAATAATTGTGTATGCTTATTTTATAAATTATTATATTATATTATTATTAAATAATTAATATCTATAATATTATTGATAATTATAATTATTTAGGAATGTGAGGAGGTCCATAATTAATAAATGGTTATATTTATTTAATAAAAAATTAATTAGAGATAACGACATACTTAGAATTTAACAAAATTTAAGAGGGTAAAAGAGGAAATTAAAAGTTTTAACATCACAATCCTCTTCTTATAGGGATTGAGATCCTCTCTTAAGGAATAGTGTTTCCTAAGATCTCTTAATGCATCTCAACCTTTGATTTTGTGTATGAGCACAAAAAACGAGGAGGTCCTATGCAATGAATGGTTGTTTGATTTTGTGTATGAGCACAAAAAACGAGGAGGTCCTATGCAATGAATGGTTGAGATGCATTAGGAGCTCTTAGGAAACACTAGAGCACAAAAAACGAGGAGGTCCTATGCAATGAATGGTTGAGATGCATTAGGAGCTCTTAGGAAACACTATTCCTTAGGAGAGGATCACAATCCTTCTTATAGATACAGATATAGATACAGATTTGACCGGTAACTTGAGATAACTTTTGCTAGCTGGGCTACACCTTAGGTAGGCCGTCCGGCTGCATTTCATTATAATTTACATTGTGGGCCCAAATTAAGCCCAAATCAGTGCGATCCGTAGGGGCTGTTTGAATAGATTTTTTTGGGTGGTAAAAAATGAGAAAGCTGCCAAAAATGTTAGTCTTTTAGCATCTTTCTCCCAAAATCACCTTTTTAAGAGGTGATTTTGAGGGAAAACTGACAAAAAACTGACATTTTTGACAGCTTTCCCCACTTTTACCACCCAAAAAACAGGAACCAAACAACCCCTAATTAAACCACCACTGGAGATGGGACACGAACGATGGAAACGAAGAGCTCCGTCTTAAAAAAATTTCCTATGCATCTGGCCCCCCTCTCGCGCCCCCTCTCCCCCTTCTCCCCCTCCTCCGTCGATTCCCCCACCGATTGCCATGATTCTTTCCCCCGCCCTCGCCTCCAATCTCGACATCCGCCCTCGGGCTCCGGTCGGGGGTTCGTTACGATCCTGCAGAGGAATCGGGGACGAGGACGAGGCCGGTCCCTTCGCCTCCGGGCGAGGAGCCGCAGGGAATCCCCCTACGAGGTTTTGGGGGTCCCGCCGTCTTCGACCCAGAAAGAAATCAAGAGGGCTTATCGGAAACTCGCTCTCAAGTACCATCCCGATGTTAACAAGGGGGTAAACTTAGTTTCAAAACCTCTGCAAACTTTATGCAATTCTTTAATTATGTACATTATTTATCTCTGGAACAGGCTGACGCCCAAGAGAAGTTCATGCGGATCAAGCACGCGTACAACACCCTGATGAGTTCGGATTCCCAGTTCCAGTACGGAGCCGGCGACGGCGGTCGGAACTATTCAACGGC